ACTGCCAAGTCTGCTTCTGCACTCCCTGCTTGCTTGCTGCTGCTTTTCTCAGTATAAAAACCTCAACCACCCTGAGCTTGGGGCCTGCGCCATTTTTGAGATATCCAGGTGCTGTCCCGCTATCCTAATAAACCTTCCTTTCCTCCAACCACCTGGGTTTGAGTCGTATTCTCGGTGGTCAGTCATACTTTCTGTACGTTCCTGCAACACACCCACCATGATTGTTGACCCCAGACCATGAAAGGAGTGAAAAGTAGTGGCACCCAAGTTCTTGGATCTCCACTACTCCCTCCCAGACATGACTAGCGTGTTTGTCATTACTCCGATCCTATATCCGTAACTTCTCAACCGCCTAGAGTGAAAAAGCTGATTTCTGAGCAAAGGTCCCTCTTTTCCATTCTTTGGCCTTTGAATGAAAAGTTTCTTTCTCCTCAGCACTACTCTGTGGGACATTAATTTTCCATGGGAAGAGATGCAAGACCTGTGTTCAGTAACGGAAAAACAAACGGGAAAGCTGGCTGCGTTCCCTTAAGGAGGACCCAAGGCCTCTGCTTCCTTAGAACCTCAAGAAGCCCTTTCGCAGTGCCTCCAGGTACCTAGGCATGCATTACTAAAACAGGAAGCGCTTCCCTGGCCAGGCAGATACAGGACAGGAACTACATTACCCAGAATGCAGCGCGCTCAGAGCAGCGCCGGAAGACGCGTGGCTAGATCGCTGCGTTAGCTGGGCGGGACTTCTGCCGTTGCTGTGAGGTAGTTTGTGGCGAGGTTCCTCTATCCACCCTGCCGGGCGCAGCCGAGTGGGTACCTGAGTGTCAGGCTCGCTCCGCGCCCTGTGGCACCCTGGAGGGTCTGTCCCCATGGGAGCCGCCCCCTGCGGCCCGATGGCGGCGCGGATAGAGGCGACGGGGGTAAGTGACCCGCGGGTGGCGGTCTGTGACCCTGTTTCCTGAAGCCCTGGGGGTGTCGCTTTCGTCCCGGGGTCCGGAGCCCAGACCAGAGGTTTCTGAGGAGGATTGTCACTTCTGACTACCAGTGGAGTGCGGAATGGAGGGTGGAATGCGACTTATAGACCCCTTGAGCCCCGTCACCGTGTCCCGGACTCCTAAGTGTGGATGGACTCCGGTTGTGCCCCTTTCTGGCGACGTGACCTTGAGCAAGTCCCTTTACTGCCCTTGGCTTCCCATTTTCTCGAGCAGAAAATAGGAAATTAATATCGCTTCCAGCCCTGAATTGAGTGAACAGGAAAGTGGCTACGGTGATGTGTGGCTTTCAGTGCGGACCCAGTCCGGGGCGCATCGCCGTGGACGCTGGGGTCCCGCAGGAGCGCTCTAGGCCCTGTGGTGTTGGGCGCCACCCCAGCAGGAGCCCTGGCTCTGCGAAGCTTAGGACTGCTGTGAAGGGAAGGTGGGAGTAGCAGTTTTGGAATTGCTTCAGTGCTAGGGCTGGAAAGGTAGCAGGGTAGGATATGGGATTTATCTTTTAAGTTTAGGACAAATGCAACTGGGTTGCAGCTGATAGTACTCTGTTTTCCTGCTTTAAACATGTTGTTACAGGTGGAAAGTGAGTCCATTATAATATTCAGTGGTAATGTCGTGTCCTCTTGCACATGAACATGTGAGGCCTTGGATCACTTGTTAGCAGTCACCCCAATTACTCTCATTATAACCTTTGGTCACTGTCAAGACTTGTCTTATTTGTGAATTTCTCATCTTTCTGTCACTTTATTTCTTCCTCCTGTATCATTCCTTAAGGAGGCCTTCACTGTTGCCACATCTAAAATTGATCATATGCTCTTTGGTCTTTTCATTCTATTCCTTGTCTTCTGAACCTTTAGGGCCATCTGACATTGTCATGCTCATTTATTTCATTGTATTTACTTAGCATCTCTTTTCAGCCTTTGCATGTGACCACCTGTTGCTACTGTATCCCAAGACCTAGAACAGCCTGGCCTTGGGTACACTGATTGTTACCAAGAAATAATTAATCAAGGAGTGGATCTCCTCTTCAGGGGCTCCCATCACATTTTGAATAAATCCCCGGTCTGCCCTCAGCATGGCCCACAAGGCTCTACTTAATCTACTCTTTCAACCACCTGTTTTCCTCCTCTTCCATTGCCCTCTTGTTCTCTGCATCCAATCAAAGTGTCCCAAACTTGCCAAAGCTCTTTCCCATTGTTCAGCCTTTGTCCTAGCACTTCTTGGGTTTGGACACTGCCATAGTCTGTATGGAACTACTGATTTACACCCTCCTGTGCATAAGACCTATGCTGGTCTTTCCTGTCTGCTCTAGTTTGAGCTGAAATACATCTCATTCTCACATGCCCAACTTCTGGTAACTTTGTGAGATCTTTTACCTGATGTTCAAATTCTGCCTGTGCTTCTTAAGTATGAGACTATAGCTGACTTCCAAAGCTGCCATAGACCACACTGCTGACTGTGACATGGGCGTGGTATCGGCATTTATTTCTGGTGCTGTGAAAAGATGAACAAAAGTTGAAATATACATCAAACACTTAGAAGTGCTAGGCACTCCACTGATTTCTTGTGAACATTTTATCTTTGGTTCTCAAGACTGCTGGTAATGTGATTATTTTATTGGTTGGGAGATCAAGACTTAGAAAAATAATACGTCAGTTTCATCATGGCCATACAGCTGCCAATGTCAGATTTAAGAGGGCTGATTCTGGCCTCAGAGCTAGGGGCCTTTGTTTGCTTTCTCACCTCAAAAACCTTCAGCTCGTAAAGGCATACAGTGAGGACCAGGGGGGCCCCACTGTTGCTGTTGCTGTTATAGTGGGAATTATTCCAAGTTGTTTTCCTCCGTTTCTGACATCCCCGAACGCTTGCTGCCTGCCCCCCACAGTCCTCTGGGCATTGCCACTGTCTGTGTCATCTCAGTGTTTTTCCCACAGGAATCTTCTCTTAGCCACAACTACATTATGGGCAGTGGCCACATCCACCTCCATCTTGAACCCAGCTCAGAGCTCAGCCCTCAGGAGACCTCAGTGATTCAGACCTTGGTTTCTCTGTACCTTCACCTAGTGACTTTGATCCCATCCAGCAGTACAAGGTCAATACTACTACTCCTGTTTGAATTTCCAGGTGTTGGTGACCTTCAAAGATGTAGCTGTGACCTTCACCCGGGAGGAGTGGAGACAGCTAGACTTGGCCCAGAGGACCCTGTACCAGGAGGTGATGGTGGAGACCTGTGGACTCCTGGTCTCACTAGGTAATGGTTCACTGCTCACCACCCAGGAACCCCAGCCACTTTTATTCTTGACTGAGCACAGGAATTACTTTCCTTCCTCCGCCTAGTTCCTGTAGCTTCTGGTCTCTGAGTGTCTGCTTCATGGATCATTGGGGTATTCTACAAGAAGGGATAAGAAAGGGAACTCCTCAAGAGACATTTGTCATCACTTCCCTGAGATATCTTCTTAAACAGCATGGCCTTGCTAAAAAGTCTCTGATGCCTGCATAATCTTCACTTGTTTCCTGAGGCTGGGCCTCAGTCATCCTCCCATCTGGGAGGTGTTTTTAGAGGGTACACAGAATGTCCTCAAATGGTGTGGGTGGACAGCCTGAGAAAGCTGACCCTTTTGCCTTTCTGTCTAGCAGGTTGATTGTTATCAGCTAAGTGCTGGGTCTTCCCTGCACCCAAGTGCACTTAGATTCTCTCTCTCTCTCCCTTGTTTTTGGGGGGAGGGGTGGTGATAGTGGGGTTGGAACTCAGGGCTCACACGTGGTAGGCCAGTGCTCTACCACTTGAACCACTCTGTCAACCCTTTTTTGTGTTGGGTATTTTCAAGATAGGGTCTTGTGAACTGTTTGCCTGGGCTGACCTCAGACCATGATCCTTGTGATCTCTGCTCCCAAATAGCTAAGATTACAGCTGTGAGCCCCTGGCCCAGGGCTTAGATTTCTTTTTGACACAGAGGACAGCTACCAACTTCCAGCCATGATGAGGGTACATGAGTCCCCAGAGACTTAATGGTATTATTTTTATTTCATTGTTTTTGTTTGATGGTAGCCTTCATTTGTTAGGAAGTGAAATGCACTTTCTCATTTATCAGAGTAAAACAGGTTTCCTTTTAGAATAAAATTTATAGAAAAAGTGGGTCACATTAAACAGAAGCTGTTAGACATGATGGCATACTCTGAACTCAGTTGAACTCACTCTGACTTCAACTCAGACTTCACAGGTGATTCTAAAGCACTGGATGTTTGAGATCTGGTGACTTCAAAGATTAGAAACCATCTTCGGGAGGGAAGGGCTCACCTTTGCCATGTTCCCTGGCTATTTCTGACAGTGGTATGTGAACCTGAATGGACCTGGATTTTGTAGATGGAGGTCAAGGGCAGCGGGAGCCGCAAAGATAGACAGTACTACCCTAAGAGTGGGTTTGTGACTGTCTTCATCTTCTCTGCTACCACAACAAAATACCATAGATGGGTTTACTTAAACAATTATAATTTCTTTTCTCTCAGTTCTGGAGGTTGTAAGTCTCAAGATCAAGTTAACAACCAGTAGAGTTCCTCATAAAGCCCCTTCCTGGTTTGCGCATGGCTGCCTCCTTATCATGTCTTCACATGGTAGAAAGGGAAAGGCTTTTCTGTCTTCCTCTTCTTCTCTTTTTCCTCCAAAGAATACTGATGATTTATTTGGGAATGGAAATTGCAATGGAAATAGGGGAGCATGCCATATTGGGTGCATTCAAAGAGGTTGAAGCAAGCCACAGTTATTTTTTAATTAGCCTATATTAATTGTCCAAAGTAGTAGGTTTTCTGTGACATTTTCATAGATGTGTATAATGTACTTTCATCATATTCACCCCTCTCTCCCTCTTGTTTGGAGGTTCTAGCAGGGGAACACAGTTTCTTATATACCCTTGACCAAAGAACAGTCCTCCTCTATTGGGGATGGTCGTCCTCTTCGACCAAACTCTCAGCTTTAGGAAGGATGCACATGGAGCAGTGAGGGAGGAAGGGTACACCTGCCTAGCCATCCTGATCAGCTGAATCAACCCTAGTGATCAGTGGGGTGACAGATGTCATAGCAAGATCGCCATCACATTCCTCTCTCCCTCTTCTTACAAGGTCATAGTTCTGTCTGATTAGAGTTCCACCATATGACTTCATTTAGCCTTAATTACCTCCTAAAGACTCTGTCTCCAGGTGTCGTCACATTGATTGTTAGGTTTCAACACATGAATTTGGGGAAACACAACTCACTCCGTAGCAATGCCCCTGATTTTCGGGTCTCAAAGCATCATTTTATTTACTTTGCTTACTTCATTCATGATCTCACCCCTGTCATGAATCCCCAGGAAAGATGGAAGTATCATTTGTCTCATCAAATTACTCTGTCCTACTTTTTCCATCTACAGGGCAGCAGATTCCTCAGCCAGAGTTGATCCACCTACTGGAGCATGGGCAGGAGCTGTGGACAGTGACGAGAGGTCTCTCATATAGCACCTGTGGAGGTAGGCACTCAAGAGCTGATTGGGGGGTCATAGCAGTTGTCATCAGAAGGGACCACTGCCTCTGAGCTGCTGTGTGAAATTCCTTGTTGTGACCTCTGGGATCTGGATGCTTCGGATCCACCTTAAGGTACAGTGTGCATCAGCAGGTGAGCTCTGAACAGTTATTCAGAGACCCAGGAGCCATGTAATGTGATCAGGCAGTTTGAGCATACATAATCCAGGTGGCTATTTAGAAGTGAGGAAGGAGAGAAGTCATGGCCAGATGCACATATGCTTCACTTGCACATACTCTTGATGAGAAATAGGCATAGACCAAACCTGGATCTCAGAATCGATAAATGTGGTTTGGTTCTTTGCCCAAGAAGAAGAGTAAACAGGTTGGTTTACATCACCTCAGGCTGCCATATTCAAAAAATCAGAGTGAAAGCAATCTGTCATTGAGTCATTTGAAGGTATAGTTAGATAATGTAGAACACTGCTTAGTGCAGTGCCTGACCCATCGTATCAACAAGTCCACTGTTAGTATTATCCGTGTAAGAGTATGCCATAATGAATGAATACAGTGCACACATTTCCTTCTGGACTGAGAGGAAAAGGGACTTTTCCTTCCCCTGATAATACTCTCTACACTTTACACGTACCAGGGTTCCCATGTCGGCTCTGTGCCTCTGGTCGTTGCTGACCTGCACTGGCTCTTACAGCCACACAGACATGTTCCATATCTTCACCATTTCAGTGAAGTATGTATATATAACTTCATGTTGAAAATAGAGGTTATGTATTTATGTTTCTTGCTTTTGAGCAGTTAATTCATCTATGCCTCTCATACCTGTGGCTTCCCCTCTTACCTTCTTTGGAAGAGATTTTGCCTCTAATTGTGACCAGTTTCTCCTCCAGCACCTATGTTACACTCTCTGCATGTTCTCAGGGAATTTGCTTCTTAACTTGTCTTCTGTCTCATCTGTATCTGTATTCACCATAAAAACACGCTTAGGTTGCTTACACTTGGGGAAAACAAACAAAATGCTTTTTCATTACAACATCCTATGGCTTATGTTACTCAATGTATAAAGCCAAGAAGACATGTACATTTGACTTACATATATTTTATTTCATATTTCTTTAGTCTTTAAAAATCTGAGGTAGACAATTATGGGCACAAACCTTTACATGTTAAAACGGACAGGTTCTCCACTTGGGTCAAGATTTAGACTATTTTCAGTGCCTCCACAGGTTTTTCTTGCCCCCTCCTTGTTGGTGGCTCCTCCTGAAATGGTGGCCTAGGTTTGACTGGATGTGAATGTATATAATTGGAATGCCTATGTGTTTTCTCATTTACGTGTGGCTTCTTTTCCTCATTATATGTCCCTGAGCATAGTTCATCCTTTGTACTGTTACTGTAACCTTGCAGGAAAGTGTCAGGATGAATTCTTTATTCTCCTTTTGGCTGACATTTGTTAGTCAGAATGCATTCACCATTCTTCTGATGACTGGCATTAGTTTTGTTTACCCTGTTTGGAGATTGTAAAGAATGCTGCTGTGAATACTCTGTGTCATAGTATTCAGTGGCTACAACACTCATTTCTGTTGTGTATAGACCCGGGAGAAGAATAGCTGAGTTGTGAGGTAGGTCTGTGGCCAGCATTAAGTCAAACTAGCAAGCTTTTTTCTGGAGTGACTATACCACTTCCCATTCTTACCATCCAGTGATGACAGTGTCCTTGCACTAGGTCTTCTTGAACATGTGGTACTGTCCACTGTTCTGTAAAGCACACTAGTTGGATTCCTTAGGCCACAACACTTGAAATTGTTCATCCTAATTGCCCAGTACAACAATGACACTAAGAAGAGTGGCTCACAATTCATCCAGTACTTGCATTGCCACAAAACTGTACGGAGTCAGGTGTGGTGACGCATGTCTGTAATCCCAGCACTTGGGAGGCAGAGGCACTAGAATCATGAGTTCCAGGCCAGCCTGGGCTCCATAGCAAGACTGCCTAAAAAGTAAAAAAAGGCTGGGGATGTGGTTCATTGGTAGAGCAATTGCCTACCAAGTACAAGGCCCTGGACTCAATCTCCAACACCACATAAAATAAAATCAACAAGCGTGCTGAGTGCTTTATGGGCATTTTCTTTTAACCCTCATGGCAGCCTGAGAAATAGGGCTTGCTGATGTCTTGATGAGGAAGTGGAGAAAGTAATCCATCTCCTATCAGCCTGCCCAGTAGAGGCAGTATTTCAACTGTAACTTTTTGTCTTTCAGTGCCTTCACCTTACTCCCAACCACCATGCTGTTATCGTCCACTGAGCAGCAGAGGTGCTTCATGCCCTTTGTTCTCATGTGTTCCTTTATTCCTCTCGTGCTGAGATGTTCATTCTTTTCGTCTAATTCTGATCATTCCTTCACTGCTGGCTTCACAAGACATCTGGTACTCTTTATTTCTTAAACATTCTCCAGGGGAGAATGTACCATGCTTACTCCCTAAATCCATACCAGTGCCCATCTCTGTCTGTAACCACTCTGATTTCTCCATTAGGATCCAGTTCATGGGATACTGCCTCTGGGAAACCTCAGTCTTGTTAGGTGCTGCTTTCCTATACTCTCATGACACCAAGAAACATCAGTGCTCAAACCAGGCACCCTCCAGGCAGTGTCATGGGAATCTATCCTTCCTCCCTCCTTGGACTGTAGAGAGGGACTGCCACTCCAGATCCTCTGTGCACAGGTCCAGCCTGCCCTCCAGATCGTCCCATAATGGTTTCATGGGTACCAGGACTAACTCATGAAAAGTCAGAGATGTGGCAGTATTCGAGGTGTTGTTTCCATCCCCATTTTCCCACTGAGTGCTGATCTTGTTCTTCTAGGTTACATCACTAAAAGTCTCCCTTATGTGTGTTGGATTCCTTTTAGGTAACAGAGCACAACTTCAGACCAGAAAGACAGCTACTTCTCTGCCAGTCTCATCACAGGGAACCTTGCTCCAGGGACACCTAACTCAGGGATCTTCAAGAGACTCTGGATTACAGAAATCCAGAGATCAGGAAGGGCCTTTGAAAATTCAGAAAGGCCAAATGAAGCCAGGGACATGCTCTCCTAAGGAGACCCCTCCTGGGAAACCAAGCCTTGAAGATGGCAATTTGGAGACAGATGGTGGATTGGGCCTGAGGGCATTACAGGAGCAAGCCTCTCTTGGTGCTCTTTGCATAGGTAACTCTCAGCAGTCAGGGAAGGATACCCCGATTTACACAGGGACAAACCTCTACAAATGCAAACTGTGTGGGAAAGGTTTTAACGGGAAGTGGTATCTTGTTCGACATCAGCGGGTTCACACTGGACTGAAGCCATATGAGTGCAGTGCATGTGGGAAAGCCTTTAGTCAGAGCTCAACGCTTATCCGCCACTACTTCATTCACACCGGAGAGAAACCCTACAAGTGCATGGACTGTGGGAAAGCCTTCAAGCGCAGGGCATACCTCACACAGCACCATCCGATTCACACCGGAGAGAAGCCCTATGAGTGTGCTTGCTGTCGGAAGGCCTTCACTCACCGCTCGACCTTTATTCGCCATAGTAGGACCCACAGTGGAGAAAAGCCCTTTGAGTGCAAAGAGTGTGGGAAAGTCTTTAGCAATAAAGCACACTTAATTCAGCACTATATTGTCCACACTGGAGAGAAGCCCTATGACTGTGTGGAGTGCGGCAAGGCCTTCCGGTGCAGCTCAGAACTTATGCAGCACCGGAGGATTCACACTGGGGAGAAGCCCTATGAGTGCAGTCAGTGTGGGAAGGCCTTCCACCGGAACATGTACCTGATCCAGCACTCAGTCATCCACACTGCAGAGATGCTGTACAAGTGCATCGCATGTGGGAAGGCCTTCAAACGCAGGTCACACCTCTTACAGCACCAGAGGGTCCATTCTTGAGCAAAACTGTCAGCGCAGTGCATAATGGAAAGTTCTCACACCATCGCCTTTCTCTTTCATGATGGCACCGTACTCTAGCAGAAAACCCATTGAGGGCACAGAATGCTGGGAAGATGTTTGTGTGTGGTGGGGGAGGTCTGGTCAACTTTTCCATAACTGAACATGTGAACAGTCACATTGGAGGAAGCTCATGAATGCAGTGAATGCAAGAAAGCAGTTAGCTTTCTTAGTATCTGGGAAGGATTTGCATCAGAGATAAACAGAAGGCTTTCATTCACAGGTCAGCATCAGAGACTCATGTTGAGGAAAAGTATTCTGAGTATTCTAAGGACAGATAAACCCAGAAGGAAAACCTTATTTGCCATCTCAGAATTCACCATGAAGAATCACCACAAAGTTGTTGCTGTGAGAAAATGATGACATTGTCACTCTTCCAAGTCATAATGGAATCTGACTCCTGTGGGTTTTGCTCTATGAACTTATAAAGACCAAGTCATGAGTCTCCTTGGTGAGCACTGGAGAGCCATGTTACTGTTATTTAAAAATAGAGCCATGGCTCAAGCCTGTAGTCCTAGCTGCTTGGGAGATGTGATTGGGAGGATCACAGCTCGAGGCCAGCTTGGGCGAGTAGTTCATAAAACCGTCATCTCCAAAATAACCAGAGCAAAATAGACTAGAGGTATGGCTCAAGCAGTGGAGTGCCTCCTTTGCAGCCATGAATTTCTGGGTTCAAACCACCAAAATATATATATAGAGAGAGAGAGTGGGATGTGGTGGCTCACACCTATAACACCAGCTTTTCAGGAGTGGGGAGGTAGGAAGGTGCCGTTTGAGACCAACCCTGGAGGAAAAGTTAGACCCTGTCTCAAAAGCGTGATGGTGTGTGCAAGCTACTTAGGAGGCTGAGGTAGGACTACTGTCTGAGGCCACTGACAGACAAAAAGTGCAAGACTGTGAAAAACAAAAAGTGAAAGGACTAGGGGCATGGCTCAGGTGGTTGAGCCCTGAGTTCAATCTGCAGGACCACAAAATAAGTAAATTACTCGGAAAAGGAGGAGGTGAGAGCATGGACCGAGAGAGAAAAGCAAATGTCCTCACAAACACCTTTATACTTCCCTGCCAAGCCTGTTAATGGTTTTCACCAGTTGTGACTCAGTAGGGGGATGGTTGAGAGATACAAGGGCCTCAACTATTTGCTTATTCTAATATTATTTTTTATAATTGATGATCTGTTAGCTTGGTGCCCTGTGCTTTCTGGTTATGTTCACTGCTATCCTGTGGCAGGGGGCCTGGGCAGCAAACGCAGCCCTTCATCACAAACCTTTGTTCCAAACAAAGGATAGATGTTCGTGAGAGATGAAGGCTCAAGTCAATAAATATTTGAGCTTATAACTATGTACAACCTCATTAACATGTGCACCACTCAAGACTAATCTTGGACTTTTCTGAACAAGTCCAATGTTCACGTGGTTCTAACTGCCAAGCACTCACTTTTCCTGAAGATCCTGGACCACAGGTTTGTTTTTGTATTTCCTTCTGCAGCATGTTCAGTCACCTGGTATTTGTCCAACCTCTTCTGGTGAGGCCCAATTCTTTATTCTAGTTTTTCTCAGTTTCTTTAATCCTTTGTATAGGGCCATTTCCAGTTCCTTCTCAGCAGTTTTCTAGGGGCTGTTATAATGTTAAAAAACCAAATAAAATATAACTAAGACAGAGGGCTTGGGGGAGGAAAATGTAGGGAGTGGTGATGATGACTTCCCACTGAGGACCTCCAGAGAAGGAAGTGACAGGAGGGAAGCAGCTGAGGGGCCAGCAGAGAGACAGTAAGTGTGGGAGAGGGAAGGAGGGGGACATGGAGAGGGGCAGAAACAAGGGTTCATTGCCAAAAAGACAAGTGCAGAAAAGTGCAGTCAGCTGAAGTGTGTCATGTTAGAATGTGAAAATCCAGGCAAGACCCAACTGGAACATCTACAGCAGCAAACAAAGTCCATTCCCATTTCTTCTGTCTGGTTTCAGGCCACCTCCCCTTTCCACTAACTCAGCCTACAGCACACATCCTCTTCTGTAAGCAAATTTCAGGCTTTTCAAGGCAGGGTCATATTCTAATTTTCAGGTGATTCTCAAACCTTCAGCATGTTGACCTGTTTTACTCAGTAGACTTCTACCTTCACAAGGTTTCACTAGTGACTTTTCTGGTTTCTTGGTTATCTCTGTGACTGTACCTTGGAGTTTGCACAGCTCAGTGCTTTTCACTAATATACACTGGGTTATAGCAGAACTTATTCATGGGTTTCCTCCAGGGTATATTCTTCAGTGAAAAGCCACGATATCTGTGTACAAAACATACCATGTTTTTGAGGCAGGTAGAATGAAAATCTGTGGAATTTTCCTGTGATATAATTTTGTTTAATACAAATTTAAGTATTTTATGCAATAATCAAACAATGTTAAATCAAAATGAAAATTTTAAATGCATACAATCAAAAGTAAAGTGAAATAAAAAGTGAAAATGATTCTGTATAGACTGATAGCCTTTCCAGAAAAGGATAAACCCTTAATGCTTTAAAACAAAGAGGGAAACAGCACACACCACAGTGATGTACTTTTTTTCTGATAAATGTAAATGATCAATTTATTTGGAACTTATTTCACAGTATGAAAATACTAGGACCAATAAAATACAGATAAATTTTGACCTCATAATTGGAACTAAATGTGCTGGATTTAAAATATAAAGGGTATCAAATATCCTCCGCAGAATGTACTTTCTTAATTTTGAGTTGGAAAAACCATCACTACACCTGGTCCAAACCAGAGATCATATCATTTCATAATAATGATGCAGTGTTCTGTGCAGACGTTGTATTAGCACAAATTAAAATTAATCCCTAACTGTAACTACATAGAACACATAAGAGGAAGCTTTCAGTAACAGTCTCATCAAAACCATTATTTAAATTTAAAACAGGATAATGTATGTGAACAAGCAGGACTTAGCAGACATGCTTACCTACCTATAAAATGTTTCATAAATGAACATAAAATACCAAAAAAAATTAAAAGAGGGTTCTAGCCTTTCAACTGATAGGTTTATTTGTCAAGATATTATCAGTCACAATTCTCTGATGCAAATTTTATATGTTCCTTTCTTACTACAAAGCATAACTAATCAAATATGTTGGCAAAATCAGAGCTCACTTAAAATAGCCCAAAAATTAGAATGTATTTTATTCCTTTTTTGAGTAAAGATGTACAGGCTGATATCATGCTTTCCTTTAAAACTCACTCTATTCCATATAACTTGAAGTATATTAGTGTATTTGAAGTCAGGTGTTGTTACTTATGCTCAGGATTGCTTTGAGTATTCTGAATCTTTTGTGCTTCCATATGACTTCTGGGATTTTTTTTCCTATTTTGGGGAAAAGGTCATTGGAGTTTTCATGGCTGTTGCATTGATTCTATAGATCACTTTCAGTAACACAGACATTCTTGCAATTTTAATAATAGCTATCCATGAACACTGGAGGTCTTTTCATCTTCTATTGTGTTCTTCAATTTCTTTCTTTAGTGTCTTTGAGTTTTCATAGTAAGACTCTTTCACCTCCTTAGGTTTATTCCCTAGGTATGTTTTGAGGCTATTATACTTAAGTATCTTCTGCACTGGTGGCTTAGAGGTCTTGAATTGCCTTGTTTTGTGCTTATCTTGAAAGTTCTGTACTTCAGCGATATTAAAGGATAATTTTTCTGGAGATAGTAATCTTTTTGTTTTTCCTTTATTGCTGTCTGAATGTATTATTTCTTCAACCTTGTCTTCAATTCTGATATTCTTTCTTCATTTTTATGTAGTCTATTGGTGATGGTTTCCATCACCAATGATGGAATCACTAGATTCTTTATTAGATTTATTAAGCTTTTCATTTCTAACATTTGGTCCAGTTTATTTTTTGGATGGGACTGGGGTTTGAACTCAGGGATTCACACTTGTAAAGCTGGTGCTCTATGATTTGAGCCATACCTCCAATGGTTCAGTTTTTTTTTT